ATGAGTCGTACATCCATAATTAATCCACCCAGTATTATGGGGAACTTCAGTTAAATTTGATTCAAAACATACATAAGCATTATGCTCACCTTTCTTTTCGAACCAAGCTTTGCGCTTTAAGAAGTCCTTACGAAAATGTCCGAGACTTCCCACGAAATGACATTTGTCATTTTTCTTATGAATGTTAGTAGAGGACTCGTTAATCTTTAATGGTCCTTTACCACTTTCCATGTTTCTTAACAACTTTCTTTTTAGCTCCTTGATTTTTCACGTAATGAATAGATTGACTTCCTAGGTTCTTGAGTCCGGTCTCCTCCTGGACTAACATACTTGTGCAATTCATGCACATTCCATTTGTCTTTCATGGTGTTATAATTCATCTGGAACGAACCATACTCAGACGGTGACGAGTTCAAAATGAACTGCACAAGAAAATTTTCTTCCACTGCCATTCCAAGAGACTTGAGTCTTGCTGCGATATTTGTCATTTCGATTACGTGTTCATGCATACTATGAGAACCATCAAACTTCAAGGTGGTCAACGTACTCATCAATGTCCCAGCGAGAGATTTGTCAGCAGTTTGAGAGCGCTCTTCCACAAATTTCATAAATTCTTTCACGTCCTTAGTTTTGGAAAAAGCATACTTAATATTGCTTGTAATACTCATTCGCATAAACATAAGACTAAGTCTGTTTGACCTTTTTCAAACTCTATAATGAGTTTTCTCTTTGTTGCTACTAGCATTAGTGATAGCAACCAGTTTTTCAACTTGGAAAGCCAAATCCAACTCACCTAAGTGAAATTGGACTTTCTCACTCCAGTCAGGGAATTTAATCTATTAAAGACTGGAACAGACAAAGTAAGCGAATGTAGAAATACATAATCAAATACTTCAATTAACACATGCCTAACATTAACGCTTTGAGTCATAAAAACTAAATATAAATACAGATTCAAACATAAATAACCATTCTATGCATACTAATGTTCTCCTTTGGGAGATCCACTAATACACAAACATAATTACGCTAATCTTTTTATAACTTTAATGATAATTAAAATATGCATCAACTAGAATCACCTAACACCTTTGGGTATATAAATAAAACTAGTGGCGCACACAAAATTATCTACTTTCATGTTCATTAATTATAATAACAACTAATCAACCTTTGGGTGATCACTGAAATGCCTTATAATAAATAACTTCAATTAACCCATAAATCATTATTCATAATTTTAGCATTCATACTATGGGTAATTGAAATAAAATCACTAATAATTTGAAATCAAAATAACCTTAAAATTTTGGCCACTTTGGTGACTAACAAAATTTATCATGCTTAATTTCAAATAAATAATATCTTTAATTGCTATTAACCATTCATAGCATTTTTTTATTAATTTTAATAAATATGTACATTATTCACATAATAAAATATTATGTGCCATAAATAAAATTGAAACTCATAATTTCAATTTTCATCCTAAGATTGATTTTCAATCCAAGACCTTTATTTGCATTTCACGTAAAAGTGAAATTGTCATCTATTCAAAACTTTTATGAGTAATTTAAACACAACGGAAACAATACAATTCAGTTTGCAAAACAAGATTCATTCATTTATCAATGTTTACATTATAGGTACATTAACAAAGCTTCACAGTACATTAACAAAGCTTAACAAAGCTTCACAGTACATTAACAACCTTAATAAAGCTTCACGAGTACATTAATAAAACATTATATTAACAACCTTAACAAAGTTTCATAGTACATTAACAACCTTAACAAATTTACGAGTACCCATAACAAAATTTTATAGTACCCGTTTTATAGTATGAGTATATTATACAACTCACTTTAACATAAAAATAACTCTTTAATTATCCTTCCCCCACATAAAAAAAATATGTACGTACAAAATAATGTACAAATAATATGGGGACAAAATAATATATGGACAAAATAATATAGGGGAAAATGGCTTTAGCAGATCACCGAGTCACCAATATGTACATACAAAATAATATTATAAATAATATAATATAATATAATATATGAAACATATGTGTTTAACACGCTCTCTACGTGCAAAGTTTATCAACTTTACAATTTATCATTCTTCCATCATAATTATAACATCCCATCATAACATCTCATCATAATTATAACATACAATGAAACTAATTTCATACATGATTCATCCTAACCCTATCACGTCATTTGCCTTTTCAATTAGAAAGGATTACAGGGTCATTCACGCATAGGGACTATAAAATTGGTTTCAATTTGAACTTGAAAACATAATTAGGGTTTATTCCTTTATTTAATTTTGAGAAAAATAAAATTGGGAATAAATTAGGGTTCATAATAATCTGATAGAGAAATCCCTAAATTCATAATTAGGGTTTATCTTAATTTGGGAAAAACATCATTTGAGAAATATTTCCATAAAAGGAAAATCATAAATCTAATAATCGAGCTCAGATACCACATGTAAAACAATATGTAGTTTTCATACGTTCTTAATTCATTATAGAAAACTACTCTACAGGATCTTTAGATTATTGATTTTCACAATATAACATACATGAATCATAATAAGAGAACTAACCTTGATCCATGAAAATATATTTTTTAATCTTCTCGTTCTCCAATCTCCTTTTCCCAATCTATCTCTTTGTCTTTCTTTCTCTTCTCACGCTTTCTTGATGGTTTACCGTGAAAAACTTTATGACCAGAGACAGAACCCTTATTCCATTCAATTAACCAACGTCCATCAAGTTGGTTACCGTAATGTAATATTTTATTTTATCTTTATTTTATTCTGACTTCACATAATAACCAATAGGTCCTCATATTTTATTAAATCACATTTGAGCCCATTATTATATTTCACATGAGTCACATAATGGAATGAATTAATTAAATTAATTCTAACATCATATTAAGCAAGTTCTATTTTTTTCTTCTTCTTCTATACTGTTAACAAAATGAGTGGAAAATTAATTCTATCTGGATTTATCAACTATGAATGCTGGAGATGAAGATGATAAAAAGAGTATTTTAAGATATGTTTTTGTGCTGGACACGTGTACAATTTCTTAGTCATTAAAGAAGCCACCAATACCTTATCAAGTACAATTATTGCATCAACAACTTGTGCATTTGGATGAATAAAATTTTGGAGGAATTAAAATTCAAACAAAAAGGAGTCACTACAGTAAACACATTTGTTAAATTTATTTTTTATGAGATCTCACCAATGATGGAGTAATTAACTTAATGTTTTGCAGAAGTAAACACAATAATTTATTGTGTTTTTCATGTTGTATTTCTGTTTCATTTATCCTAGTTTTTACGGGTTAGTTGTTGTTTAAGATTATGCGTAGATCATGGGTCCTATTTAAATGTTATTTCCGCAGCATTGTGACCCATCCTTTGTTTTCTTTATTCTTGCGAATATTTTTAATATTGAACCGGAAATTAAATCGGTGAAAACATATATTTAAGATTTAATTATAATTTAATCAAATTTAATAAATTAATATTTTCATAATATAATAAGTATTAATAACAATAAATTTTTTTAAAATAATAAAGATTATTATCTTGATTAATGAAAGTTATAAATAAAAATTTACATTAAAAAATAACAAAGGATAATAATTAAAATAAAATGAAAATTTATATGATTAATATAAAATAAATAAATAAATAATTAAAAAATATTATATATTTTTATAAAAAGTGTTGTATTTAAAAAATTAAAAAAATAATTTTTAATTTTTTTTATCAAATTCAAACCAATTTTTTTCATTTTATCGATTTTATACTATTTTTTTTAATTTTGTATCAATTCAATTAAATTTTAATTATTTAAAAATAATAAACCGATATCTAGGTTGGTAGATAAACTGACCAACCTAATTTTAAAAATAGTGATTCGTGTTATTGGTTTCTTTATTCTTGATATAATTTTGTGCGTTTAGAAAAGAAAAAGAATAAGAGATAAAAGCTAATTTATTAAACTTATTATACGGTTTCTAACATGATTTTATTAATCTTTTTGTATTTTTATTTCTTATTAATCAAGTTATATAAAGATTTGTTTATTTATTGTTTTTTAAAATAATTATGTTTGTACAATTTTAAAAATAAAAATATTTGTTTGATTTTTATTTTATTGAAATAGTTTAAAAAATATTTTTATTTTTTATTTTTTTAAATTAAAAAATAAAATATATATTTTTTATTTTTATTGTTGTTGATGATATTTTTGTTTCTATTTTTCATTTTCCAAATTTGAAAAAAAAATAACAACATTCAAACATTTTTTTTAATTTATTTTCAAAAACATTCTTTAAAGTATCCTTAAGATTATTTTTAAAAGTTAAAAAACAAACTAAATCAAACACACATTAACTTTCTCGTCTATTTTTATTCTATTTTAATAATTTTTAAACATTTAATTATAGGCTTGACTTTTCTTTTGCCCACAATAACCGCTGAAACCAATAGTAGCGGTTTCGTTGGATTGAAGGCCAGTTACTACTTTAGCGTGGTACAGCGCAACCTGATAGACTTTTTATTACGTTTTTTTATATCCTTCTATAATTCAAATAAGGATTTGTCTGAAACTTCGAGCAATCAAAACAATGGTCACTCACAGTGTTGTCTTTCGTTGACGTATGTTGTTGTTGAGAAAATTTAATGAAATAATATCTGAGATGAATGGAATTTAGTATTCTGAAAGAGAAATCAGCGGCAAGACGCAGTAGAACAGAACAAACCACTGTTTTAGTTTTTGGCTTTTACGAAATCGAGTCACAAAACATGAGGCCAACAGAAACAACATGAACGAATCTGTGTGTGACCCCTTTATAAATCTTTTCACAATTTTTCTTCTCAAACCCATCAAAATTCAATTTCAGCTTCAACATAAACATTCACGGATATTCTAATATTCTAGCTTCATCTGGCTCTTGAATCTCCATGGCTTCGCTGGTGCTTCTCTTTTCAGAACTCGTTCGGAATCATGAGTGGGATGCTGCAGCTCTGTTAGCAGCATACCCTCCTCCCAGTTTCACCATAACCTCATCATCTTGTGCTGTTTCTGCTGCCAGCAAAGGTGTGGTGCAGAAGAAAACCGAAGGCACGGTGGTCGAAAACCCTTTGGAGTCGAGGGTGTGTGTGGATCTTGTTTGGCCTTGAATCTTGGTTGGTTAATACTCTGTCATGTGTCATGTACATTGTTACTGCAACTATTTTTTTTTTTATTAGAAACTAATTTGCTATGATGTAGAGTATTTTTGGTCTTAACCGTTTATAAGGATTCTTGGTAATTTGCCTCACCTTGAATGAAAGTTGAACTCTTGTCAAATTTGCTCTGTTCATTCGATTGGATTTGATTGTTATAAGAACAATACTGTATAGATTATTATATAACTGTTATAAGAATATAAAACACTCTTTCAAATAAGGGGACAAGTTTTGCCTATTACCACTGATACTTGCAACACCTAAAATATTGTGTGGTCAGTTATTATGCACGATGAATATTATGCTCATAGTTAAAAAGGAAAAAATCCTTTCTGGGCACAAGATATGATTGATGGATGTAAAACAAAATTCCAGAAGTTACCACGTAACGCAGTTGTACGTACTGTGCACAGTTTTTTTGTGTTTATGTAAAAGAAATAAAAGAGACAAATAAAAGAAAAAGGAATTACTGAATCTATCACTTTTGGTCGAATATGAATGAAGCTATAACACAAGTTAATTAAATCACCTTGATTATTTTCGTGTCTTAATGTTCAAGATTAAGAGATTGAACATCTTTCGAATCAAATCATATATTGAACAAATTACTTGAGTTTGATCACTTCGTATTTCTCTACTAGAGGCTAGCGGTATGTTAGCTCTTTATTCTTTTTCTACCTTTTAGAGATAAAGAATGAAGATGGTATGTTACACCCTCTACTCAAAATATTTTATTTTAATAATTAATAAAATACAAAAATAAAAAAGATACAAAAAATAAAAAGATAAAATTTTTACATATATTATTTATTCAAATATAAGTTAAAAGATAAGAAAAATAAAATATTAAAATAAAATCTCTTAAACACTAAAGTTATCATTATAAAATTTTAAAAGAATTTCTTAAAATAAAATAAATATATTATTTATGTATATTCTCATGTCTAGTAAGAATATCCCATGAAATAAAGATGAAAAAAATATTAAGTATTATTTTACTCCCCAAGATCAATAGTTAAGATCTACTCGTAGGTTTATGAGCCGATCGTTTTGGTCATGACTTAAACATGCAGGTCAAGCTAGCTCGTAGATTTATGAGCCGATCGTTTTATAGAATAATAATTATTTTTAAAATAAAAATAGAAATAAAAAATAATATTATTATTATACATATATATATATATATATATATATATATATTATATAAATTATTTTGATAAGTAGTTCATCTATTCTAATAATAAATTTTTAATTAATATTTATTTCAAGATCTAATGATTAAGATAAATTATTATTTTAGATCAATAAATTACTAAAATAAGAATGATGTTAACGAAGAATAAATTTTTAACTTTTATTCGAAGATTAAATAGATCCATTCTTTAATAATTTATTTATTAAATTATTATATCTTAATAAAAACTAATTTATTAATATAATTTAAAATTTAAAAATATATATTTTATATAAATAATTTTTTAAATTTTTAATAAAATTAAATTCTCATTAATCCATCAATTATTATTTATTTTAAAATATAAATCAATGAGATTTTTAAGTTGAGTAATGTTTTAAATTAAAAAAATTCAAAAGAAAACTAAAATTCAAATATTTTAACAATATAAAAGATCAGATAAGTCTTACTTGTGTGAATTATCGATTCCAATATTGAAATTTTTAGATACATAACAAAAAATAGGGATCATCTCATTATTTACGTTTTGTAATTGAAAAATCCTAATTCAATTATTCGATTGGAGCCCCTCACCAATAAAATATCTAGATTATAGAAAAAAAGGATTTTATTTTTTTAAAAAGAATTATTGAGAGTTTGTAATAAAATAATCAATTCTTACTACAATTTCATTTTTGAAACTCATATAGATGTCCTCGTATATTAAAAAAAAACCTTCATTTTTTAGAAACTTAGTATTAAAAAAACAAAATGTGTTGTAATACAAGAGAATCTATTCTCTTTTTTTGTCGTTTTTTAATTATCTTGGAGATTTAATCATTGTTGTTATTTGATTGTTAAGATGATATCACACGTTTTGATAGTTGTAATTACACGATCAATTAAAAAAAAAAAAGAAAGAAATGGATTGTTACAAGGGCGGAGATAAGGCGACATAGAGTTTATTTGATATTTATTTTTTTCTGAAATATAACTCATTAACATTGTTATGATTTTGTACATAGGTATTACCATGAGTAAAAATATATTAGTATTGATATAATTATTCAGAAATATGAAATAATTATTATTAATTTAAAGATGTTAAATTATTTTTATTTATTTTTCACCCATCCTCACTATTTTATTTAAAAATTATAAGATTATTTTGGGCTTTAATTAAAAAAAAACTCTTATTTACCCTTATTATTTCAATTAAATCAATCCATAAATTTATAAATTTTCTATTCACTTTTACTTTCTTTTTTTATAATCGACCGAATTTATTTTTTTCTTGTCTTTGGTTTTATCCCCTCATTTTCTAATCTCAACACAAAGTTCCATATTTTATTTTCAATATTTATTGTAAGAATCGTTGTTTCTTACAGCGCTTTGTTGGCATTCACCAAAGCACAATACGTCAAAACAAGTACAACTCATCAAACCGAAACAGCTACACATATAACTCTCACATAACAATGGAATGGATTTTGCAGTTTCCAGTTAATACAGAGCGACTGTGTTGTGACAGGGAGAACCTTTTATATAATTAGCCAATACTAAAATCTCAAAGTTTTGAGAAAGATAATAGATACACTACAAAACCTTATGTGACTTTTCAACATGTTCTAGTGTGTAAGTTGTTGAAAAATGAGGATTCAGTTTTTTTTTTTTTCCCTAAAGGATCGTTTTTTCCTGAAATAGTTTTTCTTTTTTAAATTACAAAAAAGAGTTAAGCTGTACGTTTGAATAGGAAGAGATCGTATTAGTATACTTTTTTTAAAATTCAAATTGTGATTGCCGAATTTTAAAAAAATAATGATTTATATATAAAAACTAATTATAAATTGTAAATATATATATTAATATAATTAATAAATTTCATATTTATATTTTAAAATATTATATATATATATATAATTTATAATATTAAATAAAAAATATATAAATTAATTACCTTTTAAATAAAATTATTTTATAATAATTTATATATAAATATTATATAATATATATTAATTAAAAATATTATATAATATATATTATTAATTTATAATTAATTTTATATATAAAATATTAATTAAAAAATAGATATAATTAAAATCGTATTATTATGTAGCACAACTTCAATTTAAAAAAAAAAACAATTATTGAATTCCTATTATGTATCACAATTTCTTCATATCCAAAGTTATTTAATGAAATATGACTTAATCCTCTTTCGTAATTTTTTAAACATGGATCCATTTGATAAAATTGGAAAAAAATTGACACCAAAAAATCGAGTATTCACATTGATTCTAACGTAAATTCTAAAAGATTTAGAAAATAATTTTTTACAATTATTGTAATATTTTAAAAATTATAACTTTGGATTATTTTAGAATTAAAATATAAAATTATTTAAAATATTATAAATTATTTTAAAGGTGATGGACCAAGCCTCTAAATAAGAAATGCTTAATGTATACAAAACTAATATAAATTTCTTCGTATTTAATCCCTATCTATACCTTTTGTCTAAACTCTTTTGTGCTAAACAACAAACCGCCTTTTCTATTATTAAAAAAAATACTAATAGAGGTACTAAAGTTACGTATAATCAACTACTGACATAAATACAGTATTCAACTATTTTAAAAGTCCTACTATATTTTATACAAATTCTAACTAATTACTAATGTAAATAATCTATTCTTGTACCTCTCTTTAGGGGGAAATTATGATTTCTAGAGTATTAAAATGAATTTTTTTCTCAAAATATGTGAGAAATTATGGAAGATGATTTTATTAGTCATGCAAATGTTTGCACACTAACAATGGTTTAGAAGGACTCAAGAGTGTTATATTTACTACAAAAAGTTGTGGTTGATGAAAATTTTCTAAGAATAATGGATGTTACAAGTGCTAAAGAAGTGTGAATCACACTATAGAAGGAGTTTCAATGAAATATAAAGGCATGTTCCATTGAACTTCAAATTCTAAGACACGAGTTTGAATTATTGAATATAAAAGAGTCCAATACTATTAAGGATTATTATACTAGAATAACAAGATATAGTTAGTTAAATGAGAACATGTGGGGAAAATATTATTGATGAGAAAATTATCCACAAATACGATGCAATTGTGACAACGATTAATAAACAAGGGATTTATCTACCTTATTTGTGATAGAACTAACAGGATATCTTGAAGCATATGAACAAATATTGAAAAGGTATAACAATAAATCTGTCACAAATATTTTTCCATTAAAACTCAAATTACGAGTCTCAAAATAAAGAAACGAGAGAAAAGAAAATTGAAGAAATTTTTAGAAAAAAAAAAGAAAACTCTATAAGTTTTTTTAAGTCTAGTTAAGAAAAATATATTTCTTGTGCCATCTGCGAAAAATCAAGTCATCTAGAGAAAGAATGTTGGCATCACAGGAATTCATAATGCTAACATTGCAAGAAGTTTGCATATGTAGAGAAAAATTGTTGAAGCAAAAACAAACATTAAGAAAATTTTGCTGAAGAGTGTGACTTTCAACAAAATCTTTTTATTCTACCCAAGACTCTAGTGATGAAACAAGTAGAAGTTGGTAATTAGATAGCAGATGCAGTAATTGTTGTGTCCAAAGTGTGTGGGTATTCTCTAAAGTCCTACATCAGGTAGTTTGAAGAAGGAAAGTGGTAGACTATCAATATAAATAAGGGGTGATAACTTGGGTCTACTTACCACAACAATATTAGTCTTTGTTGTATTGGGGACTTGGGTAATTATGTGTCAAGAGAAG